AGACCTTGTGGAAAATTACAGATCTATTTCACTTCTGTCTATTGTGCCAGGAAAGTGTCAGGAGCATATACTTCATACTGCAATTTATTCCCATGTCTCTGGTTACCTATCTGATTGGCAGCATGGTTTTGTTAAAGGGAGATCTACTGCTACACAACTAATTTTGACTCATCATAAGTGGGCGAAAACACTTGATGAGGGACGCCAAGTCGACGTAGCCTTTTTAGACTTTTTTAAGGCTTTCGATCGTGTTCCCCATAATGTCTTGCTGCACAAGCTTTGTAATCTTGGAATATCTGGGAATTTGCTGAACTGGTGTAAAGACTACCTTAGTAACCGAACTCAGAGAGTAGTCATAGATGGTTATTCTTCCTCTTTGTTGGAAATCACTTCCGGTGTACCACAAGGCTCTATCCTCGGGCCATTGTTTTTTGTAATCTTCATCAGTGATTTACCAGACGTAGTCTGTTCTGACAATACCATTTCACTGTATGCAGACGATAGTAAGATGTTTAGAGTAATTGACTGTGATGAAGATCTGATTTACTTCCAGCCAACATAATCAGATGGACTTCAACACTAAAAAGTGTAAGATCATGAGAATCACTAGGAAACAAGTACCCTTTACTAACAGTGTGCATATGAATGATACCGTTCTTGAGAAGGTTAAAGAATTTAAGGATCTCGGAATATTGACTTATTGCAGTACTGTTTATCCTGGAACTCTCATACTGACATGATTACTGCTAAGGCAAACAGAATTATGCTGGGCCTAAAAAAAAGGACGTGCAAGGATCTCAAGGATACAGCCACTTAAAAGACCTTGTTTTGTTCCCTCGTCAGATCTAATTTGGAATACTGTTCGGTTGTCTGGTCTCCCTTCACAAAGAGAAACATAGACAAACTTGAAAGAATTCAACGTAGGGCGACCAAGTTTATTCTAAAATCCAATGATCAATACGATATTCGTTTAAGAGAGCTCAAGTTGTTAACCCTTGAATAGAGACGTTTCTTATTTGATGTCACTTTTTTGTTTAAGGCCCTCAATGGCTATATGGATGTGGATTTTTCTCAATTTTTGGATTTTTATTGTCAAGAGGATCGCTACTCGTTTCGACACTTTGATATAAATAGATCTTTAAAGAAGAGATTTGCGAGGACAAATGTACTTAAAAACAGTTTCTTTCATAGGATAGTGGATAAATGGAACATTCTGCCGTATGAGATCCGCTCTGCTTCAAATGTCTACATTTTTAAATCTAAAGTTATGAAATTTTTATTGCAATGTAAATAATATTTAGCTTGTATTTTTTTTTAAAGTAATAATACTACTACAGGTAGTGTTTTTTTTTTACATATATACATACATATATATTTTTTTATATTTTGTATCATAATGTATCTTAAATAAGGTGATTTGTTTTGATATGGGGTCGCTGTAACTCTTTTACAAATCGTCCTCATGGCCTTTACCTTACTTACTGCCATTAAATTGTAATAAATAAAATGTTTACAACACATTACAATGCTTGCGTAATATGAGTTACCGGTAAATAGCACTTTACAACATGTTTTTATTAATTCCCTTGTGCTGATAAGTTTATGCAAATAGGGTCACATTTTACCTTCAACCATATTTATTGTCCTGAAAAGGATAATTCCACATTTCTTCAAAAGCTGTATATTTTTGTCACGTCAACTGAGTCCCCAGGGTCCTCTCAGGCTTCTAGGTCAGTGGCTGGTTACCAAGAAACTGACTCTGGAGAACAACATCAAATTTTTTGCACAAAGGAAACCTGCAAAAAATGAAAGCCAGTGAATGCCATGTACACATTTTTTATCAAATTCAAATCCACATCTACAGTGCAATTACTGACAAGTAGTGAAGTCTTAACTGCAGGAATTAATACATGTACCGGCCCTGCTACATGTATTTTAAAGTAAGCCCTAAAATGGGTGGATATGTGGATATGAGGATACTCAGTCACTACATGTATATATGTATCAGTGTATCCGTGAAACCACTTTGTCACTCTATATCTGCATATCCACTTAGTAAGATATCCTTTAAATAATAGACACTGAATCCACTACGATATGCACTTAAAACAGCATATAAAGCACATAGTATGTCGATTTGTCATTCTTAAAGCCCCTGAAGGAAGAAGAGCAAATAAAAGGGACAACTACGAATCTGCATTTCCAGCTTTTTCAGGGATACAGCTTCAAAGCAACAGGGTATTCTGCAGTTACTCTGTATGGACCTTCTATTTCACAAATGAAATGCACTTAGTTTTATTTCCCGGCCAGTCTCTCACCCTCTCTCGCAGCTACGGACACTTTTTTATACACTGTACCTCCCAACTGTTTTTAATTTATAGGCTTGACATTTTTTTTCCCTGAGGGTACCAGGGTCTTTTGTAAGGAGTCTGATAATATCTGAAAATGTCCAAGGACAATAGGAGGATGTACTGAAGACGTTCTGAAAAATTCCGTCAAACACAAACTAATAAAATAACAGAATTCAGAGAAAGTTGAACATTCACATGGACTTTTCTTTTCCCTCATTGGTTTCAGTTTCTTTGAATAATAAATATATTTTTCAAAACGGGTCAGTTAATGCTCTGATGGCTCAAACTTTTCTACCAGGCGTGAGAAATTGGAACACAGGCGTGAGTACACTGTAGACGTGAGATCGAAGTTGTGACACACAAAAATGGATGCTTGATCGGGGGGGCCTTAACTACCACATTTTATTGTCGTTTCACCTTCGATTTGCTTATCGAAAGTGAAACTTCCGCCTTTATTTAGGACTTTCGCTTACGCTAGCAAGAACTTGATCTGAAATGATTCACTGTGATCACTGATTTTCATTACAAAACACAATGCATCACTATTCAATAAACTCATAAAACAGCGCAGAACACCGTATAACTCGATCATGGCTGCTCATGAATCTTCAACTCCGCCATGACCTCCCTGGGCACCTCCCTGACATGTCAGTAAGTGACAAACAGTTTAACTTTCATTCTACAAGTACATTTTGCTTTTTCAACATGGAAGTGGAAAAGATTGATTAAATCGCTTACCTCTGAAGAGATATTTCGCTGATAGTTGATCCAAGGCGCGAAAGAATTTGCGACTGACCGTGTGAGGCCTGGTGATTACACTATGGGTCGCCAATATAAAAAAATCCAACTAGAACATCTTCATGTAACATGTAACTATGTGTCACTGAACATAAGTACGCATCACTATCTATCACAACACACCACTACCCATCACTATCTATCACTGTCGATCACTACACATCATTATCCATCACTACACATCAGTCAGGGAGGTGCCCAGGGAGGTCATGGCGGAGTTGAAGATTCATGAGCAGCCATGATCGAGTTATACGGTGTGCTGCGCTGTTTTATGAGTTTATTGAATGATTTATTAAATAGTGACGAAACAATACAAATGCACTACAAAAACGAGGTAATAAAAAACTAGCAATGTATTAAGAACACTCGTTCTAGCATTAAACAAGAGCTGCAGATAAAATTTTCTCAAAATTGGTTTAAAGCTCAAAACGACATTTCGGAAAGCTCTAGACAAAAATATACAAACAAGGAAATTAAAAAAGATTATCGCTTGGAAGAATACCTAAAGATAGTTAGAAATCCAGCTCATAGAATCAGTATGACTAAACTGCGATTGGGAGTTCATACTTTACGTATACAAACAGGGAAATATGAAAATGAACTAGCTTCCATACCAGTAGAGGAAAGGCTTTGTTTAGTTTTTTCAAAAGAAACTGCATAGAAGACGAGAAACATTTCTTACCGTAATTGATTGTACTGAATACGAAAGCCTTAGACAACAACTTTATTTTCATATTTCTGACAATGATGCAACCTTCATCAATTTAACAGATCATGATAGAACGTTATATTTACTCAGATTAGACAATGACAAAACCTCACATATTATAGCTAAATATAAATATGCCCATATAATGTTTCAAAAACGAAAACAGTTCCTGAGTCAAAAACCCAATTGATTAGGTAATTAAATTATAGTATAATTCTTATCGAAATGGTATATGCCGTATGATTTTGTTGTTTCAGTTCATATTTCTTTCTTTTTAAATTTGCTGTAGTTGAAAAAACCTTTATTGTGACTAGACTGATGCCTCCCTTTGGAGAGCAAGGCGCGATAAAGATATACTATACTATACTATCCATCACCACACATCACTGTCCATCACTAAAGATCACTGTCCATCACTACACATCACTATCCATCTCTACACATCACTATCCATCACTACACATCACTCTCCATCACTTCACATCAACTATCCATCACTACACATCACTATCCATCACTACACATCACTGTCCATCACTACACATCACTGGCCATCACTATGCATCACTGTCCATGACTACACATCACTGGCCATCACTACACATCACTGTCCATCACTACAGATCACTTTTTATAAGAACCTATTTAGGGTAATTTGGAAAATCTAGGTTCTTATGCGCGGGTTTTTACTGTAATTGCAAGTCGTATTTGTGTAAGTTAGACAGCAAGTAGATCTAACGCTTGAAAGAATTGTGTAGTGATGGATAGTGATGTGTAGTGATGGGGAGTGATGGAGAGTATAGTATAGTTTATCTTTATTGTACCTTACTCTTCAAAGGGAGGCATCGGTCTAGTTACCATAAAGGTTTTTACAACTACAACAAATCTAATTTGTATATTTTTGTCTAGAGCTCTCCGAAATGTCGCTTCGACCTTTAAGCCAATCTTGAGAATATTTTTTCTGCAGCTGTTCTTTAATGCTAGAACGAGTGTTCTTAGCACATTGCTGGTTTTTTTTTTACCTCGTTTTTGTCACCATTTAATAAATCATAAAACTGACTGTGATTCCTTGCGTAAACAAAAGCTTCAGTGATGTCTAAGTGATGTGGAGTGATGGGTAGTAATGTGTAGTGACGGGTAGTGATGGACAGTGATGCGTAGTGACGGTTAGTGATGTGTAGTGATGGATAGTGATCTGTAGTGATGGATAGTGATGTGTAGTGATGGACAGTGATGTGTAGTGATGGCCAGTGATGTGTAGTGATGGAGAGTGACGTGTAGTGATGGGTAGTGATCGGTAGTGATGGATAATGATGGGTAGTGATGTGTAGTGATGGATAGTGATGAGTAGTGATTTGTAGTAATATGTAGTGATGTGTAGTGATATGTAGTAATGGACAGTGATGTGTAGTGATGGCCAGAGATAGGAAGTGATAGGTAGTGGTGTGTTGTGATGGATAGTGATGCGTAGTTATGTTGAGTGACACATAGTTAAATGTTACATGAAGATATTTTAGTTGGAGTTTTTATATTGGTCAGGAGCCCATAACCCGGAGCATTCAACTGCCATAAATTCGTGCAACGGCGTTTTTACAAGTGAGTTTATTTTTAGATAAGCTTTTCCCGCGAAAAATAACTGTTTCACGAGGTCAATTCCTCCATTTTATCGTCGTTTAGACTGTTAGTAGCTCGCTTGGACCTTTTCACAGTCGGCTATTTCGAAGATGATTTCGATTTAATTTCCTTTGCGTGAATTATGCGTTGTCGCCGATGAAGTAGACGTCCTGGCTAGGTTTTGCAAATCTTGCTCTGAACTGCTAGTTTCCGTGTAAATACTGAAATTATCGCTTGAAGTACTGTCAGAAGACTCCTCTGAAGATTCCTCACGTGTGTCCGCCATGTTTTTTTCAATCTGAAGGAGTTGTCCTAGTTACGTATTAAAAGTTTATCATTGATGGCGCAATTGTTAGTGATTGGCTTTTCGAAAGCAATTCGCGGGAAAGGCTTATCTAAAAATAAACCTACTTGTGAAAACGCCGTTGCATAGGCACAGTATGGAAGTTAGACGCTCCGGGTTATGGGCTCCTGATTGGTGTAGGAGAACACACATTTATTACCGCTATTGGGGCCTGATAGAGGCCTGGCCCCAGTTGCTCAAAAGCTGAATAGCGCTAGTGGATAACTATGAGGGAAACCCATTGCGTTATCCACTGGATAGAGATTCATCCGATGGATAGGGCTATCCACCTTATGAACAACTGGGCCCTGATAGCCTGACATGGTGCTCTCCTTCTCGTTTGCAGTGCTTGCAGTAACCCGGGAGACTCCAGATTTTTGAGCTTATCTCCCGGTCTCCAGATTAGCCGTATGAAATCTCCCGGATAATCGCCAAAGTTTGCCACTTCTTCGGTAGACTCGACTTTCTGGAAATTTAACTATTTTGCGTTGTTTGAGCTATTTTTAATGTTAACATCAAACGTTTCCTTATAAACGGCTCCTTTATGCCATTGTAATAATGTGATTGGTGGGAAATAAACCAATCAAGTCATATGTTACAAGGCAAAAACATTTTGTGCGCGCGTTTTGTGTCATCGCAAATTCATGACGATCGGAGAGTATTTTATGCATAAATGACGTCATGTGCTATACGTTATGACGTCATCTATCATCCCTTCCCTATCAATTCTCACTACTTGAATACGTGGGGGGTTGACAGCCCTGCGTTTGGAAAGAAGCGAATTAAATCTTATACCAATAGTCCGTTTTCGAGTTGCTAGGCGAATCAACCATCAAATCTTTATCAAAGCAAGGCTTGGTGCACAACTATCCAAGCGAACATGAGTTTTATTAATTTGTGTTCAGAATGAAACGTTTTTTCATTCTTTTTTTTTTCATATGAAAGAACGACTACCAGGAGTTGCTTTGATAAGGAGCCTGAAGGCAAATGGAAATCGGAAAAGGACTATTGTAGAACATGGCCAGCTCCCGGACTGGGAGGCATATTGTACTGGGTCGGAGTCAAACTCCAATTCTGACGTCAGGGCACTGGTCACGTGACTTCTTGACGTTCGCGATTAGCAGGAAATGCCAAAAAACTTCGATCTTAAGGTCTCTGATATAAAAGCGCAATGTCATGCAATTTTAGGCAATTTTGAGCAACATTCAAGAAATAAAAAAAGAAAAGAAATAAGACGTGGATGCTCACGACTGAAGAAGGTGGAGTAAACTTGAAAAATGTCGGCTCCACTTTTAGTTCAGTTTCGTGAGATAATCCGGCATGAAAGAGAATCGAGAGAGCACACTACCAATTTTACGCTAAGTTCCCAAAGTAAATTTTAAAAGCGCGCATAATGATAAACGGGGGATGTGAAAAAAAGATAGCAAAATAAAAAATTGTAAAAATCTGTAAAGAAATGGATTAACTCTCCTCCTAGTCTTCAGAGAGACAGTATTATATGGCGGCTTTCGCAAGTGCGCAAGATGAAGTAAATACTGTTTTCTGATTGACTATCCATCTCCCCTGTTGGGAGTTTGGCGCAGTTGTCCCTCAATAACGAGTTTATTCAGTGCCGGATCCAGACCCTGAGATAAGGGGGGGGGCGGTCATCCTGGACCTTAGATAAGGGGGGGTGGTCTGGAAAAAAATCTTTTTCGGCCCTTAGGGCCTCAGTTTGGTCCAAAACTAAGCGGGTGGCGGCCCCCCCGGGCCCCTCCCCTGGATCCGCCACTGTTATTGACCTCAACACTCGGTCCATCAAAACAAACAAACACCCTTGCCCAAAATTTGCATAGCATTTGTTTTTCGTTTCTCCTGTGTATTACAGTCATCCCAAGAAAAATTGAAGACATTAGAGAGATTTAGAGTAAAGTTTACGGCAATCGGCAAAAGGCAAACGCGAGATTCAAGCTGAAAATGTCTCAAAGATGAACAGGTAAAAACTGATTTGTTGCAAGACAGGTTTTATGTGGGTGGTAAAACGCGCGACATCGCTATTCAACTTGTCTTGCAGCAATGTTGCAAAACATGTTGCGCGTTTTTTCTTGCCCGTTTTTCTGTACCTTTGAGAACGGACCTATGGAATCAGGGTAGCTGTTCACTGACCTCGAACTTTCGATCGGCCCTATCAGGCGGTTGCTAACAGTTTCGGATGAGAAAAAGCCACCTAAAACTTTCGAGACGACCAAAGTTTCCCTAAGACATCAGAACAGAAAAAAAGGTTTTTTAGGGAGGCTCCAAATCAACCAAACAGGCCAGTACGGCATAGAGAAAGCCAAACACGAACGCCTCAGTAAAGCTTCAGCAAGTTACAACAGGATATTGTGCAGTCTGATATGTCACACGTCTCCATCCCCTAACCCCACACGGGTTAGGGGATGGAGACGTCTGATATTTCAGACTAGAATATTGCGTTGCTTTCAATTCAAAGGAAAAGTAACAGGTATGCATGAGAAATAATATATAGATTTAGCCAGGGCTAAAAGCGAAGCTCTCGATAACATTTATAGTTCGTTCAAACAAAATGTAAAATACTGTAATGCTAAGCGGCGAAGGCAACGCCGGAGAACGGTGAAAAATAACAATAGGTCTAATTAGCAAAGAAGCAACTTTGCACCTGCAGCACACTGTTTTTGTACATTTCTTTGCCGTTGTTTTGCACGACTACGGTGAAATTTCCAGAAACTTCTTAGTTAAACTTTTAATGGAGGAAATGTCGTACGTGTTCTCGTTCACTGTTTTTCACTGCCACTCATTTTCGCCTTGCATTTGATTGGTGGCCGCTAGCATTTCTTATTTTGTCACCTCCGCTACAAAATTCCAACAAAAAAATGTCTCCTTTTTTTTATCTCACGATTTAGATCTCTGTCGCCCTATTTCTCGTTGAGCTTCGCAGGCCTGCCGCCTACTTCCTCTTTATCTCTGTGTTTCTCCTGCTGTATATTCCAAATTTGTGGACATGACAGTTAATCTAAGCTTAATATTTTAGACAACACGGATACAGAAACAATTTGCGCTTTCCGTTTTCGTCTTTATTGACTCTTTAGCTGTCTCTGCTTTACAAGACGCCGTTAGCTATGCAATTTTCCCGCCAAAATAACCTCGAGGTGCATTTGGGTTGCCATACCAGCTGATTGAGTTATTTTACATTGGTTTGCCTTTTGTGCGGACGGACGGTCGGGCGGGCGGGCGGGCGGGCAGGCGTACGGTCACGTGATTGCCAAATTTTCTCGGATGGTTTCGGATGGGCAGATTGCTTCATTTTCTTACCCATGGTGCTCTGCTGCGAGAGCTCTGCTATAATCAACTTTTATTTTTAGGTGGAAATAAGAAATTTGTGCCGTACTGTTGGCGTTTTAGAACTGAAGCATCAAGTACCTTCTTCGCCTTTGTAATTCTTCTCTTAAAGCAACTACTTTCATTTTTTTTGATCGGGCGCTCAGCGGAGCACCATGGGTAAGAAAATGTGGTAAACTACCCATCCGAGAAAATTTGGTCATCACGTGACCGCACCGCCCACCCGACTGTCCGTCCGCACACAGGCATACCAATGTAAAAAAGCTCAATCAACAGGTATGGCAACCCAAATGCAACTCGAGGTTAT